TGCTGTTAGGTACTACATTTTAAAAAGGACATAAAATGTCTGTGTTTCTATATTATAGAAAGCGAAAATTCTCTGCACATCCCATTAATACCCAGATACAAGTTTGGAGAGTCTAACAATTTGTCGAGAACAAATCTGTTATGATGGTTTCTGTCTTTTTGGTCCCACAAAGCGAGCCTGACGAATATTTCACTTATTAAACTGTCTATATCTATATTGCAACTACTTGTGATAAAAGCGAAGAAAATAGACGAAACAATTACCGACGCTGGTAACTTTGCTTTGCTTCCAAGCGTGTCTCAACTCGTTGCTCCACTATAAAGGCCCGCATACAAAACTACAAAATAATTTTCTCTGCTTCGCTAGTATCGCCGCTCTTATCGTTTATCGAAGCTTTCCCCTGTATCCCCCTATAGCCCCACGGTACCCAATGGGTGTTTAGGCCTTAGGTCTTCGTGGTAGTTGGAGTATAAAAGAAAAACATAAACGCACCCTTACGGCAGTTGTGCGCACCGTCAGCGTCTATAATCCGAATTTTCCTGGTGACAGAGAATTCTAAACTGGTCACTAGCTATTGCTATAGTTATCAAATGAGGGGGAATATTCTTGAGAATTGTGTATGGAATGATTTAAAACGAAATTGATAACGACACAGGTATGATAAATGGATGAATATCTGTTATTGGGGAATACAATGTTCCTGCAAAAAAAATCTCAATCCAATGGACAAATTGTGGAGATAGACCATCCAAATAGTGAAAGATGTCAATCTTTAGTTGGAACATATGACGAAATTGAGGGAACCATTAGGAATTAGGAAAAATCTGATTGGAAGCTAACAAAATGTATACTCCCCTGGCATGTCCACTTCCCAAATTTCCCTACAAACATCAACAAATATATGTATTATGTACTGGTATAACAATCTGCGAATACTCTTTGTATTACCTAATACATCTGATAACATATTTTCGCAAAAAAATATACATAAATATACGATTATTTGTGGTTCCTGAGAACAGTGTCGCCCTAAGGGCAGAAAGACTACGCTACCAGCGAATTAAAAATGATCCAATCAAGAATGATGACTTAAAAGAAAAAGATAAGTATCACAGAAAGAAGGAGAAAGGACAGGTTAGAATTATAAAAGATCTGACAGATAGGGAAACGCGAGCTATGAGAAAGATATGGAGAGAGAAAACTAAAAGCTATAGGGTACGTGTGAGGCAAAAAACTACTGTTAATTATCCAGAGTCTTCGCCGCCTTCGGACCATGAAGATCCACACCTCGATCCTCAAATATTGGACAATAGAGCTTCATGTGCCAAAAGACGCTCAGGAAAACAGCGGAAATGGAGAAATGAGCTTATCAAAAAACAAAAAAAAAACGAAATTCATCGATTAAAAAAAAGCTGAAGAGATTTCAAAGGAAACTAGATCACGTAAGAAGTCTAAAAATGTCACCAAGGTCGAAAGTGGACCGATTACTAAAAAAAACGAAACCCAGTAATCAGGAGAACGTGGAAGGAGTTAAAAAGTATCTGTTATTCAGTGAGGTAGTTCAAAGTCAACTAAAAGAAACATTGTTTCGTAAAGTATTGAGTGGTAGGTTTGTTAAAAAGTACAATGTTTTAAGCCAAATTGATATGAAGCCTGTGAAATGATTACGCACTGAGGGAAGAAGTTTGGTAGACGTGACAAGGTGAACAAGAATAAATGAAACTAGAGAGAAGATAAAGAACGTAAATAAAAAGTTTTTCGAAGAAGACTGCAACAGTCGCTTATGCGCAGGAAAAAATGACTACATTACGAAAAACAAAGTAAAAAACAAAAGAGGGTTTTACTAGACTCAATGAAGCATTTACACGCACCAAAGGAATGCCGATAAGTTATACTTCATTTTGTCGTTTGAGACTTTTTTGGATTGTATATCCAAACGTTCATAGAAGAAACATACTTGTGTGTAACTCATGCAAATATGGAGTTGATTTTGCTCTCTTTAAGAAGAACGAAAATTATAGACTTTATGAGTTTTCAAGCAATGCTAAATTACTTATGTTGCGATCGCTTCGATGAAGAATGTATTTTAAAAGAATGTAGTGACTGCAGAGAACGTTTTATACTTTATCATTAATTTGACAACTCTCGTTTGATCAAGCATTCTGCGTGGCAAGGTGTGACCGAGAATATTTTAGACAAGAAGCTTGAAAAAAGCTGCAAGATTCGTAAGTATCTAAACAAACTTCAAGGACATTGTCATGAAGCTTGATGCCAGCTTGGCCAGTTTTTTTCAAAAATAAGACAAATATTGTACATCAGTATCAGACAATCAAACATTCAAAGAATAATCTAACTGATAGAGATGCTGTCATACATATGGATTTCTCGGAAAAATATAATACAAAGTATTCAACAGAGGTACAAGCATTCCATTTGGGTGGATCACGCACACCCATATGTTTGCACACAGTTGTTGTGTATACAAAAGCTAGAATTAAATGTTATGCTACAAACTCTGAAAATCTGAAAATCTTATCCACAATGTACCAGTAATATGGGCTCATTTAAAACCGATAATGGAGCTTCTACCAAGTTCAGTGGAAAACATATTTTTTTGAGCGATGGCCCTGTGACACCATATCGAAACAAAGATATGTTCTCCTATTTGGTCTGCAAATTAACTTATTTTTATCCAAACATAAGTGAGTGCACCTGGAACTACCACGAAGCCGGTCATGGGAAAGGTGCTCCAGATGGTATAGGAGGAACATGCAAACGCATTGTAGATAGACATGTCACCTATGGAAGTGACATACCGACTATTGAAGCCTTCGCCAAAGCTATAGAAGAACACTGCCCTGGTATTAAAACGTTTGTAATTTCTGAAAACGATATTGAGAAGCAAAAAACTATTATTGATGCTAATCGGCTGCAGATCAAACCGTTCATAGGCACATTAAAAGTACACCGAATACGGGGAAATGCTTTTCTACGCCGTAAGATATTAATGAAGAGGCTAAGTTGCTTTTGTAGCAGTATGTGTAGTCACTTCAACATTGGTGAAGTCAATTATCAGCAACAAACTTGTAACAATTTTATTCTTGTTAAGTATGAACACAAACACAAAGAATTCAGATATGCCGGTGTGTGCTCATCAGATTTTGATGAAGAGAATGAGGACATTCAAATGACTTTCTTAAAGATCTGCGATAGTGATGGCCTTCTTTTTAAATTAGATGATAACGACATTTCCGACGTAAAGTTAGAACAAGTATTAGAAAGACTGCCGGTGCCAAATATCGTGGTGAGAGGAAATAGATTATTTTATAAATTCAGAACTCATATACCTGTATTCGAAAAATGAGTATCTACTCAAATTCATAAAAAATCGGCTTATATGTTAATTTTATTTTTACGCCAGCTACCGTTTTTTATTTATAAGCAAATGTTATTTTTTAAGAGACTAATGGAACACGTTGTAGGATTTTGTTATTTTCAATAAAAAACTATTGACCTTATTTACCTAGTCGTATTTATATTCTTTTATCAAGTGTCCTTTAAGATCATTCACATGAGAAGTTGTCACTCTTCTGTCTCAGTTTGTCACTACTCTCTGTATAGTGTCGCTCCCCTAACTACACATTTTCCCCTGGTAGCTGTAAAAACTCAAAATCCAAAACGATCTGGTCCTGTCAAAGATGCATCACAAATAGTATACTCTTAAGAGGTAATGAATATGAAACTGAAATAAATAATGTTTCTTAGGTACCACTAAAAACCCAAATACCTGATATTCACCCAAATGTATTTGCTTATTCGCATGTGGTTTAGCGACGTTCGTTGAAATTTGAATGAAACGTGAAAACAAAATCTCCTGGCTAATGCATTGGCCTTATGTATAATAAGAAAGCATGACTATACAATATTAGAAGGAGGGATCAAAGGCTGAAATCACTATGCAGGATATCGAGATTAGCATAACGTAGGCAGGCAATTTAATGAAATTTGCTAAGGTTGCGTACCTGTTCATATCGTTTTGGATTACCCGACTTGGCATGAGACACCTGCGAACCTTTCGGCAAGACTATGTCCATCTGAATAGGTGGAATTGAATATTTTTTTAAGAGCAGTCATCAACCATACATTTGTAGATAGCATAACAACAAAACCTTTTAGGACATATATACCTTGAAATTGTTACTGGAGATGCAAGTTATGCAATTAAACACACATTTCGTTCCTCTGGAGATGAAGAGACAATTAGGGAATAAGTTTCGGGAGTTGTGTTAACACATTTCATTTTGGACAATCAGAAAAATTTTGCTCATTTTTAAGAGAGCAGAACCTTTTATTAATGGTTAGGGCGTGAACTTTGCATGGGGAAGGACGCAGCTTTAATCCTGAGACAGGAAAACTTAGTTGAATAGAGCTACTATGGTATGCTTTTACAGGTGTGCCACAAAATATCGGTACAGGAACGGCAGTAAAGTACAACTCCTTTAATTACCATTTTGAGAAGCATCTACATGGGCGAGGAACGCCTACCGGTATATCACCAACAGCTGGTCCTTAAACGAGGTACAAGCTTAAGTCTGTCTGTTAAAGAAATGTCTGAATTACGATTGCGAATGAACGAGAGATAATCAAATTTACCTCTTTGTCTCAACAAAAGACAACTTGAGACCAAGGCTTGTGCATTATTAACGATTCATTAGCCGTCCAGACGCTACAAACACATTCTTCCTCACCGCACCACTTTGAAATATGAAAACTCACCCTTTTCCAACTATAACTGCTCACATATTTCCATGTTGAACATTCGAAGATACGAAAACCCGAGACACTAAGCAATCCACAATAAAAATGCGGCTATCAAGATCGTCATAACCGCGTTCAAATTACCATGCTAAATCTTTTGTTTGACCTAAAATTTAGATTAGTATGCTTTATGGTTTAAGTACATCTCGCAAAACAATACAACAACAAACTAGGGCGCTTACCTCTCAGATAAGCGGTTCAAGATCAGCCTTGGAGGCGTCTTAACGTTAAAAGGCAGACTCGTAATGAGGCGTCCTTCAGATGCTGAGAGGCTGCAATAACTGCATCTAACAGATTTTGAGCAATTAGTCTGATGACAGCTGTAGTCACTGTAGTCGAGTAGGTCGACTAAGTACCTCCCATGCATGAAGTGAAGAGCCGCTATCCGGATAATAAGATGCTGTAATGAGTGCACCTGATGTATATAGAGCAACTATTGTGATAAAAGCAGTTGTCAGTCAGCCAAGTAGGTTGACTCAATACTTCATACTTCCACGGATGAAAGAAAGCGCCTTAACGTTAACAACTAAGTCATAATGGGGCACTTTTCAGACCTACAATAGTTACAGCTGGTTTAAGGTCAAAAAATAAAGTAATTAAAATTAAAGTCAAGTAGGTTGACTCAGTGCTTGCTACGTATGAATGGAGCTGTTTTACCGTTGTTATTGACGTTAAAACGCAAAGTCGACATTGGAGTTTTGCAGTAGGTAGAGCTGATGTGAGGCTGAGCAATTGTACTGAGTGCTATCAAGTAAGTTGACTCAGTGCTTCCCACGCATGAAGGAGGCATCTTAACGTTATTCTTAACGTTAAAACACGAATTCGTAGTGGAAGCCCTTAGAATTGAGCAATGAATGAAGCTGATAGACGACTCCTGTCAATTGCAGTAGCCATGCCAAGAAGCTGAATTATCTGCTAAGAGCTTTTTCTTGCTTTCCAAAGTTCAGAATAGATGTTGTCTATACTTGAATGCAGTTCATTACCTTAACAGGTAGGTTCAAGTCTCTTACATCGTAATTTTATAATTATATGCCAACATAATGTGTTCCTATATCTATCTTGAAAATTTACCATGTTCCAACACCAGGACACACCATTTGCTACTACTAGATACCGCGGCTGAATAGGCAAAGTCTTTGCGCGCGGAACCCGCCGTATTTACAAAGACACGCAGCGTTAACAGTGACGTACGATGTGGTTTGCTACTCTCTCCCGCTTCGGTACCAGACTATAGTTCGCTAAACCTAAACACCACACACAGACTAATATATTATTATTGAGAGTCTTATCTCCCATACGGATCTGTATGTTACTTATCTCCGAAAGACATCCGAATGTTGCAGAAAGCAGTTATTTCCCCTTAATAAGCGCTTAGAGATCAGGTTGCCTGAAAACAGGGGGAACAGAAGTAAGCATATATTTGAAATACATAATACCTACCAAGGGGGACGGCAACTTTAGGAGACAACGCGTTGTAACAAATCCATAGAATTGTATCGCGATATGCATGATCAGAGAAATTTCTATAGTTATGTCTATAGTTAGATATAGTTACATTTCATTATCGTAACTCATGCAGAAAATGTAATAAATACGATGAAATTCCAGTTTTGACGTGCTGTTGAATTAACGACCTTGGAGCAAAAACCGGACAAGTCCCTATTACAAAATTGTTGGGAAATTAAAAAAACTGCACAGTATAACACCGTAAGGTTATTATTGATCAGAATAATTTTTTATTTATATTCATAGTTCTTATGGACACTACTACTCAGATTTTAATACTTCTTTTCAAAAAACAAAGGAGAGGGTAATTTTTGAAACTTTGGACATGTCCGAGTCCTGTCCCAAATAATACAATTTCTATCTTCAATAATACAATAAAAATACCTTTTAATTTAAATCAAACGGTAATTATATAAAAGAAGAGTCTGAGTCATAGTCATAATGAATAGTTACTTGTCCCTTCCAAGGGTGGAAAGAGATTCAATCTATCTCATGTGTTGAGAGGAAGGGCAAGACAGCGTTCCACTTTCTAGATATTTATCTCGTATATTGCAGTGTAAGGGTGATATATTCGGGGAAAAGAAGTTTGATAGTGAAGTTTCATACTTAAGGGCTCAACAAAAAAGCTCAAAGTTAGCATGCTTGTCTCTACGTCATAACTGCAACAGGACTACATAATATGTGTGACATAAATTAATTTCGAGGTCCGCAATCCAGGTCGAATCAGGCCATAGGTTTTGATTGATACTCGAGCTTAGTTTTCACCATCTCATACCTTCATTCCATGCAAAGCCTGAATAAATTCTGTCCGCAAAATGCTCATATTTCTCAGAAGCTGATGTTATGGCTACAATATTCACCCTGGGTGCAGATCATAGAACGACAGTCCTTCAAGTCGGTAGCACCTTCTTATCATACTGTCTCTACCGTAGCTCGACTTTTTAACAACACCTTCTAAGCTTTTCAGCATTAGCTGTTACTATATAGTCGCTTTGTTCGACTAATTTCATGCAGTTCAACTAGAATCTAGTTTTACCTTTGATACCGTGTGTATAAGGATCGCACATCTCTTATCATTTGTGCTTCGTTAAACACTTTTAATTGAACCAGTTTAATAGAATCCTAAGTATTCATTAAACCTTTGTAAAAATTATTAAAGTAAAATACATCGACGTTCTTGAATCTCAGAGACGACTCCCAAAAATAAAATATAGGAGTAACACTCTGTTTGACTTTACGGTCGCCTTGTCTGATAATTAATGGAAATAACAAACTCGGACACTCTGTACAAATAGTCCTATACACACATCGAGCCAGGAACTGTATTTATTCTAAAGGACCCTTAACAGAACAAAGGCAAAAAGTTTCTCATTGATTGTAGAATATATTTTCATTACATCGATTTCCAGAAGGGTTATTTTCAACCTTCTAAAAATCATAAATTTTATGCACACACACAGGGAAAGCTATTTCAAGCGATGACGAATCCAAAATACAGTAAATGACGGATTTATACATTTGATTTACCCCGCATACCTAGTTACGGAGCATCCGCATCCATGAACATCCTCATCTATTTCCGCATTTGTAATGTAATTTTGTTGCGGATGCGGATGTAATATAGAGTGCAGGTCATGAAGTGATAATGCTGTCTCTGCATTTAAAAAAGAATGTATAGTCATAAATGAAAATTCATTTAGATGGAGAAATTAAAAATACTTTCACCAATTGCAAGCTCCAGCCTTGGCACTCTCTTCTGTTTCAGTAACAGACTATAACTCAAAAATATGGCCTTGAAAGGTGTGTATCGAGCTACCGAACACTATGTAGGTAGTATTCTCTGACCCCTACTCTTTCCATCAACGATTTAAAAGGCCACATCACTAAAGGCAAAGTAAATTTCTATGTGTAGTATTTTCTGCTCTATCTGGAACCGCATTGCAGCTGAAGTGAACACAGTGCTCCGAGAGTTTGCTAACTAGTGTAACCTAAACAGTCTAATGATTAATCACGATAGAACAGTAGCTATGAATATAAGATTTGTCTGAAATGTGAAGTTGTCTCTTAGGGGCAAAACGTGAAGCTCTTTATGTCCAAGGGCCGTATCGTCAGTGGTACCTACAATTATTGTAGGACGAACTGCTGTCTTGATTTGGGTCTAAAGGCCGTCGTCGGATGGAATTTCTTCCTAACGTTTCGCTAGCACGAGTGGCAAGTTTCATCAGAGATCCTTCCATTTCCGATGCTGGATGTAGACTGACGATTTCTCTTGCGCAGGTTGTATTTACAACGGAGGGTAGGTGACGTGGCTTGTTCCGCTTCGGTTGACTTCGGGATGTCGATCGGCACTGCTCGGGCGTTTCTGAGGATCGGGTGCCAGATCGGGTTGAGTCTGAGGGTCTCTTCCTTCCTGTTGAAGTTATCCGGAGGTTTTTGAATCTCGATAGCTTCCCTGACCAGTCTATTGTGATAGCCGTTGACTGATGACAGCGACCTGCAGCTCCCAACGTATATCCTGTGGTCCCCATTGCTTAGTGCATGTTCAGCTACCGCAGACTTCTCAGTTTGTCCTAGCCGGCAATTTGCTTTGTGCTCCTTGAGTCTCGTTCCCATTGATCGTTTCGTGGTTTGTATACTTTGCCGCATGAACACGGTATGCGGTAGACTCCTGCAGCTGAGAGTGGGTCATTCTTGTCCTTTGCCGATCTGATGGTTTGTTGGATCTTCTTCGTAAGCTTGAAGATTGTTTTAACGTCATGTCTCTTCAGGACTCTGCCATTCCTGTCCGTGACTCTTGGCACAAATGGAAGATACGCTTGAGAGGTGGTAGGACGCTGTTTGGTTTCACGTGGCCTGGCTGACCTCAGCGTGTGCCCTCTCCTGTTGTGAGGCTATATTTTCTTTTTGAATTGTAGGAAATTGCAGGCTGATATAACAGTTGATATAAATCAAAAGCATGTACAATTTGATGCAAATAAATATTTGTAACCTAACTTTAAAATAAAGCACTGACACGGAAGAGTAGAATACTATGAAAATCAAGGAGGCCATGAAGGCGTCCTCCTGGATTGTCGTAGCCTATTCTCTTCCTCAGATTCCTAATGTTCGGTGTCAGCGTCAACGCTCTCCTGTTGTTATGTTTTCTTTTTGAATTTCAAGAAAGATCAAGTTTGTAAAACAGATGATAAAATTCAAGTCTCATCAGCCTGGAATTTCTTGGAATTCAAAAGAAAAATATAGCCTCAAAGTAGAGCGCTGACATGAAATCTAGAAATCGATAGGTATTTGCCAAAGTAACGTAAGTCACCAAAAACGATTTCGGAGAAAAAACGTGTTTTTAATTTAACCTGGTTAAACTTTTTTAAATTGTGCAAAATTTACCAGGGTGTTTCTCTGAGGTCTATATTTAATTAAGAAAAATGATTTTTGAAGTTTTTCTATAGTGTTTAATAGATACTTCTCGAAGTCTTGATCAAAAATGTAACGTAAGTACACAGATACGTCAGTTTGGCGGCAAATTGTAGCACTTAAAGTATTTTGGAAAGAATTAAAAACTATCGTAGTATGGTTACCATCATTTTCATAAGGACTCGAATTGTTAGAAGACAATAAAATTGATTGATCTATTCCGATTACGACTTCATTTACTAAAGTAGTTTTTAAAATATTTTCGGAATTACCTAGATCAAAAATATTGTCACTTGAAAGAATAGATATCGGCATAGACCAGATTTCTTCCTCAGAATAAACATTATTCGATTCATCATTTTGGCTAAGAGCCGCCAAAATCCTTTTTGTTCGTGAACTGACCATAGACAAAATCTGAAAGTAACCGAGCATTTATGTTTACAATGTTTCATAGCTTCTACAAAAATTAGAATAGAAACAAATACAACAGTCTTTCTCTAACTTCAACCGATTCATTCCTGTGAATTTCTCACAGGCTTCGAGGTTATGACAGAATAACTTCTAATAAATAAACGAAATTAAATATGAAATGGCAGTTTTATAGGTAGGTACATAATATTAGTTAAGGTTTTAATATTTTTAAATTCTAACTACAAAAAACGTTTTTTTTTAACTTCAACCGATTCATTCCTGCAAATTTCTCACAGACCTTGAGGTTATGACACAATCATTTGTAATAAATGAACGAAATTAAATATGGAATGGAATTTTATAGGTATGTACCTACATAATATCAATTCTAACTATAAAAAAATGTCGTTATTATTTACTTACCTAAAATCAATAATTAGTCGATGGTAGCACGAAACTAACGCTGTCGTAAGCCAAACACTGACTGCGAAAATCTGACGTAAGTCGCATAAACCGACAGGGACTTACGTTATTATGGCGGTAAAAAACGATAGCTTGCATTACTATGATGGAAATAGTGTTAAAGTTACGTTCCTTTTACGGATATGATTTAAAAAATTCTGGACATACGTTTTCAAAAAAAGTTAAAAACAAAGGTTTAAAGTAAAAGCTAGGCTTCCTACACTTTGGTAGTACCTTCTCAACAATAAAATCCTCACGTTAATGGAAAAACATGATTTTCACCAAAAATGTCACTTACGTTACTTTGGCAAAAATGCATCGAAATGTTCCTGCGTTTCTGAAGGTCGGAAACAAGGATTACGACCTAAACTGAAAAACCCATATTGACAGTTTTTGCAAAAAGCTAAAAACAGGTTCTTTCGTCTAAAAAAGTATAACAAATTACGTAGGTCGTGAAACCTTAAGTAGTGTCTACTATGTGTTTGCATGTGATATAATATCGTTTCCTGGGGACAACTATCGTCAAACTATTTATCAAGCATAAGTGAATTATTGGAAATATGTTCAATTTATCATCCTGTAGGAACTATTTCAAGAAATATCAACTCTTGACCATCCTCTCAATTTATTTGTTAAAACTATTAACCTATATACATGAATGTACTTTTTAGAAAAACTTGCAGTTCCATGATTATAATACGAGGGACAAGAACCGATTTTGCTTAGATAACTATGCTGGTACACGAATATACAATTATTTACCAGAATCGATTAAACAAATAGATAACGTTGCGCGCGTCACAAAGCACCTCAAGAGGCCGATCTTGTATAACACTTTCTATAGCGTAGATGAGGCTCATTAACTTAGGATTAACATGTATATTTTAATTTTTCTGTATTCAGTTTGTCTGTTGTTCTTTTAGTTTGCATTTCATTTCCTATGTACTGTATAAATATTGTATGTTACACTTACGACGTGTTTCTGTCTATACTATGTATAGTGTTCGGACCTAATAATGCAATTTAAATTTGAATTTGAATTGGCAGGCACGCTTTTTTTCTTAATAATCGTATTCCCAGTATTCACTATGGATGGTTCTATTGAAGATACGGATCTATTCTACTAAAGCTGAGTTTGATTTCCAAACAGCTCATATTTCACATGCACCTTTTCTATACAATACATGCGAAGATGAAGCTGCCAAAAGCAGAGAACAACCTTCATTTATCATTTCCTATATTGAGATGTTCAAGCTCAAAGTTAATTTAAGTTTAACGGTGGAACTGCAAGAGTGAAGGTAATTTTAAATCTGTATAGGCATTAAGCCAAAATTAGATGTCGTCGCACAATTTTCATGAAATATCACTCACCGTTCTGCTGCAATGATGCATCGTTGCAGTGCTATCATAGTATAGGCGTTATAGCTGCCGAGATTAGTATTCCAAGCTGGAGCGCCTATCTCTGTCCTACAATTATTATAGGAACGACTGATGATACGGTCCTTAGGTATTCACGTAACTGTGCGAACGCTTTAAGTTCAATCCGCCTCGCACATTTGTCAACAGTGCTTTTTTCAATGTTACCAACATACTCTCTGTTCAGCGAGACGACCAGCTGAGAGTCACAGTATGATTTCTGACTAAGTTGGTGGCTTCCACTAGCAAAGAAACGCAATGCAGACAGTATCTAGAAACATAACGCCACATTCATCTAAGCAACTTTATACTACATCAACTGCAGGTGGAGGACATAAAAGAATCAATCAATCTATCTATATATACAGGGTGTCCCAGAAGTCGACGTCAAGCCGAAACCGGATGATAGGCAAAGTCATAACAGCTATCAGAAAAATATTTAAAAAAATTTTATGTATGTGTTTTGAAAATTATAGGTCTTTGAAAGAGATATATTAATTTCACACCCTACGGCAGTCTGTCAACTCCTGTTACTACAAATATTAACTTTTTTTGGATTTTATTTTTACAATGTAATGATGAATAATGCATCTTCAAACTGGTGTCTCAACCTTACTGTCAACTTTTCTCGTTCAGGAAAAATTGCCACTTATTTCCCAACCAAGTATTCCAAAGTAAAACTTTGCTCAACTTTAACTGGCTGTACTGGAAAAAAATGTACTACGAGAGTTTGGCAAGTAACCTTAAAAGTTGGCGCATTTAATAACGATTCCAAAATGGTATAACACTTAGCAGATTACTCGTTAGCTTATGCACAATTTTTATTTGAAGAAAAACTGATGAAAATTTTTCAAAATTTCCTAATTGAACAACGATTATGAAAACGCACAAGGACCCTTAAGGACAATTGTTTGCACAACAGTGGGCGTCAAAATGCTGCTGATGATGATTTACCTTTACAGCAAATGCTCACTGTTTTCCTTCAGCCGCAATACACGCTCGACATCTTCTTAAAAAAGATCGGGTTACTAAACGAGCGAATCCACGGTTATTAACAAACTCAGCTGCTTCCAATAGTCTTTGCCGTAGCTCAGCTATATTTTGAATCGGCTTGAAATACACTTTTTCTTTTACAGTTCCCCAGTAAAAAAATCTAAAGGATTCAAATCAGGGATCGGGCTGGCCACGGTATTGTACCAGACCGCCTTATCCATCTGCCTGGAAAGTTTTGATCGAGATACTCTCTCACTGAGAGTGCATAGTGAGCTGGGCAGCCATCATGCTGAAACCGCATGTCCCTGTAAATACTCAGTGGCACGTCCACCAATAAATTTTGTACATAATTTTTCAAAAAATCCAAATAAACTTCAGCAGTCAAAGTCTCTGGGAACTCAAACGGACCGATTATTTTACCATTTAAAATTCCTGTCCAATGGTTTATCTTGAAGCGATATTGAGATTTATCTTCTCTCATCAAATGTGGGTTTGCTACGTGCCACTCGTATAAGTTATGCAGGTTCATGTACCCATCTTTCTTAAATGTGGTCTCATCCGGCCATACAATTTTTTCAAAGAACTGTGGAACTTCCCTGTGTCTTTCTAACATTGTGCGACAAAAAGCAACTCGGAGCTCATAATCCCGGGGCAGGAGAGGTTGAACACGCTGTATGTGGTATGGATGAAGCACATCACTTACTTGCTATGGCACACTTTGATACCGATCAGTACTCCTTCGTTTACTGCGCATCTTTACATGTTCGTGCTTGTTGATTTCGTACTGTTACTAATTTTGGATTCGTGAACTGGACTGTTGATCGCTTGTGATTTGGATTTGGACTGTTTAATTGCTCTTCAAAACAACATTTGCTTTCCTTAGACTATCTTTGATAGTGTGATTGTGCAGTGCCGCTATGTCCGTGTGCACCGTATAAGAATATGCTAACATGCACCTCATTTATGGGGAATGCAGATGCAACGCTAGTGCTGCAGCGAGACTTTACTGTGAGAGGTACCCAAATACAGCTCGTCATCCAGATCATCGAGTGTTCCAAATGTGCACCGCTTACTGTTCTCAGAGGCCCAACTACCAAACCAATCACACGGTGAGGGAAGATCTTTCCTTCCTTACGAAGACGTGGTGCTAGGAGCTGTCGAAGAAGATCCGAGTACTTCAGTGCGTGCAATAGAACTAAAAATAGGTGTGCCCAAAAGTACAGCCCATAGAATCTTGCAAAAAAACGTGCTCCATCCATACCACGTACAGCGTGTTCAAGCTCTTCTGCCCCGGGATTATGAGCCCCGAGTTACTTTTTGTCGCACAATGTTAAAAAGACACAGGGAAGATCCACGGTTCTTAGAAAAAAATTTATGGTCAGATGAGACCACATTTAAGAAAGATGGGTACATGAACCTGCATAACTTACACGAGTGGCACGTAGCAAACCCACATTTGATGAGAGAAGATAAATCTCAATATCGCTTCAAGATAAACCATTGGACAGGAATTTTAAATGGTAAAAATAATCGGTCCGTTTGAGTTTACAGAGACTTTGACTGCTGAGGTTTATTTCGGTTTTTTGCAAAATCATTTAGAAAATTTATTGGAGGACGTGCCACTGAGTATTTACAGGGACATGTGGTTTCAGCATCATGGCTGTCCAGCGCACTATGTACTCTCAGTGAGAGAGAGTATCTCGATCAAAACTTTCCAGGCAGATGGATAGGGCGGTCTGGTACAATACCGTGGCCAGCCCTATTTCGCGTGGGCACGCCATAACTTGAGAACGAATTTACCGATTTCATTCATCATTTTTTTTAAGGTTCCTAATGCCATATAGAAGGTTCTTATGGGAAGAAAATAAAAAAAATGCGCAAAATATTGGAAAATCATTGAAAACGTAATGATTAATTAAGCTACGCGCGTTTGACGGTTTGCTTGAGCCTGGAGCACGCACAGCAGAAGAAATATCTCAAGTACCAAAAAAGACAGGCACTCCTCTCCTCCATCTTTATTCCAACAGCCATTGACAGTTAGCTATGTGATAGAAAATTGCTTATGAAAGCACGGTGCTTTCGTTTTTGGACTTGCATTTCTTTACCTTCCGTACTTTGTGATGGCCTGTTCA